ACCACCACATCTCCCACCAGTCCTTCTCTGCTTGTAAACAGCAGGTTGAGCGAGGCACCTCCCCTGGTAGGCTCACTTACCAGCTGTGTCAGGAAGTTGTCTTCCACACACTCCAGGAACCTCCTAGACTGCTTCCTCTCTGCCGTGTTGTATTTCCAGCAGATGTCTGGGAAGTTGAAGTCCCCCACGAGAACAAGGGCTAGCGATTGTGAGACTAACAACTTCAACAAAGAGAAATTAGTATAAATCAGAATAAGGAGAAAACTGCTTAAAGCATACTTAGATTCAAGTCAACTGAACTTGCTGATGTTCATGTATGCTCAGTGACTAAGAGAAAGTAATTTCTAGACTATTAGTAATTATGTCCAAGAATTCATGAAGGACAAGAAAGTTAGTAGCAGACTAGAGAAAGGAAAACATATTCCCAATTTTTAAAGTCAAATAATAGAGAAAAGTTCCTTAAACTTTCATTCGCAGAAATAATCTGCAACAAGTTATCAAAAAGTTGAAAAAATCCAGCAACATGTAAATTTTGGGAAGCAAATCTTGTCATATCAGCCTAATTTTCATTTCTTATTTCTGATTTTCATTTTGATTTATTTGTGGAAAAAGGGGAAGGAGAATGTATGAGACATCTTCTTTTCACCTTTCAACCCCACCTTGTATGAAATTCACAGAAACAGGATGGGGAAATAAACTTTAGGTGGAATCATTGTAATGTGGTTACTGAAAATAATCCCTCTCAAAGGCTGCTCTGAATGGTTTGCTCCTGAATAGTAAATACAAGTGTGAAATTACAAGTGTGGTTCTGAGGGATCTGGGATGAAACCAGCTCGATTCAATAATTTTATTAATAATTGGAGACCTATTGAGAAATAATAAAATAAAATTTGCTGATGCCAAGATGTCACTATTCGTAGAGGGTTTAAAAGGTCTTTGAGGAACTGACTTAGATTTCAAAATGAAAATATCATACTAAAGCAGTCAATCTGGTAAAATTCACTGAGGTGCACTGTGCTCGGTTTAGGGCAGAGAAATCGGATGCACAATGTAAAATAGGGAATAACTGTCTAGACAGTACTGCTGGGGATAATCTCGGAATCCAAGCTAACTGTGAGTCACAAATCTGATTTGTTACAAAAAGGCAAAGGTCTCATTCTGGGAACATTATTAATAAGTGTTTCTCCCACATGGGAGGAATGTTATCATTTTGATCTGTTCTGCCTACACCCCACCTTAGTAATATCTCCAGTTTGGAGGCTGCAGACAGACTTGGAAGGATCCAGAAGAGAAGTATAGAGAAATGTCATGTGTGGTATAAAACTGCAGGAGTCAACTTTTGATCCTAAAAAGAGAGTAATGAGGATCCGATGTAATAGGCACTGGGTTCTTTTCGGACCTGTTTCTATGCTTACCATTACCTCTGGCCTCACCTTGGTGCATCTTCAATATGTGGATATATCTAAGCTCCTCTTAAACAATCACTGGATTCAAAAAAGACAGAAATAGCCCCACAATATCTAAAAATCCATTCCACAATAGAAAAGAGGAGAGAGCGAGCACATTTGAATGCCTGGACAGAGAGAAAGCATGCAGCATGGTTTCCTCCCATATCAGACATCAGAGAATCTACATCAGCAAGGGGAAGGAAGGGAAGGTTATACATGTTTAACTGCAGAAAAAATAGTAATAGGAATTTGTACCTTATTAGACACATGGGGAACCACTCCTCAGTCAAGGTTTTCTTTTTTGTATGAATTCCCCAGATATGAATGTAAAGTCTAATTGAAGCTTTTCTCAGGATAAGAGTGTTGGCAGCTTTTCTCTTCTGTGTTGTTTTTCTTATCTAATCAGAGCTGGGCTTGTGCTGCAAAGGCAGTATAATTCCGTTATGCATCAGTCAGCCACAAGACACAAATGCATGGAACACAATTAACCCGTTGCTCCTGCAACTATTCATTTTAACTCCGGTCTCACACATTCTGATGTAAATTTGAGTACCTAATTTTCTCAAACTTTTTTCTCTCCCCTCCTTTGGTCACATAACCAAGATGCTGGCCTTTTTTAAGCTTTCCCAAGTTATTTGCGCATGAGATTTTATATTAAAAGCAGGAACTATCAAATCAGCTACATGCTGCCTACAGAGAAAAAAATATTTTAATCCACTGAAATACAGAAAAGGTTACATTAATACAAGATAGTTCTTGCAAATTGACCAATGAGAACAGAAGAAAAGCAAACAGCAAGGGAAAAATGTGACATTAGCTTAACCTTTTTACATATTAAACTGTATTAAAATCTCTTTCTGTCTTTCTGCTCCAGAGTGCAGAGGATTTTATCTGAAGGACTGTGCGTGCTCTGAACAGCTTTCATCAGTACTCATTTTAACAGTTATTTGTCAAGGAGTGTTAAAAACACCTCCTTCATTTGATCTAATCTGGCGTTTATTCTCTCAAAACATGCTAACAAGATCATTTTAAGTACCTTCTGCAAAACATGGTCTATCCAGGCAACATGACACAAAAAAGAGCTGTCTTTAAGGCTTTGGAAAGTCTGAGTTTACTTTTATAGGTTTTCTACCAGGGTTTAATTGTTTCATGACATTTAGAAACAGGTTTTCCCAAACTGGTTGAATTTTGTCTGTATTTGGCCTGACTAGTGTCCTTGTGGGGATGCTACAAATCCACCTTCTGTCTGTGCTACAGAAGTGGTAAGAGAGATTTTCCATTTTTGCTCTGAGTGTGTGCAGCAACAACATCCTACCAACTGCTCCAAAAGTCAGGGTGATGCAGAAAGCCCTGCACAGCCAAACCCAGGGGTGATCTCTCCACAATCCAGAGAGCACCTGCACTGTGTGTCATTGTGGCTTGGAGGTCATCAGAAGTGTCTAAAAATGCGTACTGCATGGTACAACCAAACGCATTCCTTTTAACAGAGAAAATCCACTAAGGAAGAAATTTGCACTGCAAAAATAAGGCCTTTTTGCACAAAATAATCCAAATTTTTTCCACCACTGCTCAGTCTGCATCATTTAAAAAGTGTGACAGCAAGGTTGAGAGGTTTTATTCGGATCAATGGCTTTTTAGTTAAGTAAAGTACTGGCATAGATTGCATACATGACTCTCGGAGATTCCTTAAAATAGGTTGCAACTCCTATTGACAAGGTATGAATTCCTATTGAGAAACACTGCCACAGTGCTTTTAGTGGCATTCTTTCTGTCTCTGAACAAAAGTAGGGACTAGGTAACTTCTTGACATCCCTTCCAGTTTTCGTGGATGCTAGGACTCTTTTTGACATTTCATATTATGCACATTTGTTTGGTAAATACTATATTTCAAACTCAGGAAGGAAGGAAAGCCTCTGAAGGATTACACTTTTAGTTGACAGAAATACAATAGTAGCAAAGAAAACATACAAACCAGAAAACATTTCAATGTCCAAGGCCAACAAAGAGCTGGTTTTGTCAAGACAGGCTTGTAAGAGGAAAAGGAAGTGCCCGTCATCTTGAAATCTCTATAGTCTCCTTAAAACCCTCTCTAGGATACATGCAGCGTTGTTATTTTAGTGTAGTGGATATGCACGGTGAGGAAGCCGTAGATGCAGACCGAGGCAGGTCAGATCCTGCCGAGCAGATGTGCTCCTCTGGCACTGATAAACGAGTTTGCTGAAACCACTCAACTGAGACCCTCACGCACCCCTCTTGGCTGCCCATCACCTGGACACGCACCTCTACCAGCACCAGAAGATCAGCCTTCCTTCTGGGCTTCACCTGGGTCACCCCTGCGATGGGGCTGGGAGGCTTCTGCAATGCAGCTGCAAAACATGAACTCCAAAGGCTGCGTGGTGCTGCTAACACAAGGCTCACACATCGCCTCACTGTGTTGCTCAGTTAACTGTCTCACAAAATAAGTGGGTGGCTGTGGTACTGCAGCACCAAACAAGCTGTACAGCTGCGGCTTACTACATGTGCCGTCTGCTGTGCCGACGAGGCACAGCGGAAAGCAATCGCTCCCCTATTCATTGAGAAGGTTTCCAGTGTTGAAAGCGGCTCTTCTCATGGAGAGAAGAGCAGAACCAAAACATCCCAGCGGGACGCAAAACTGGGAGGGAGATCGGGGTGGATGGGAGACACAGACAGTGCCCCATTTTACGGCTGTAGAAAGAGAGGCAGAAAAATAATAATGAAGCTAACTCTGACTGGAAAGCCAGCCGGGAGATGACTTGCAGAAATCTGTAATCAGAGCCCTGGAGTCCACCACTTTTACTAGACGGCTCAGCCAGGGGCTGTGCTTACTCCAAGCAAAAATCTTCTGTGGATAAATAGTTCAAAGCATGCTCTTGTAAGAACTCCAGCAAATCTGTGTGATCTGTGCCATAGCTCCTAACTTTTCTTTGTTTAATAGCTTGCTTCACAACAACTCTTGATTTGGTATAAAACTTTGCTACCAAGATTTGGATATTCAAACGATGGATCTTTGTATTTGTGCTTTGAACCTCTTTTTTCTCTATGAAAACAGCAAGTTAAATGCAGCAAAGGTCTTCTCGGGCCTGTACAACACTACAAGTTAAAGTGTAGCACAGATAATATTTCAAGTGATTCAAACATATCAACCAATTCAAAAAAACCTCTTACGTGTAGAAGACATGAGGCAAGTTACAAATGCATTACACTGATTTCGGCAGAAGACAAGCAGCATTTGATATACTACATTCAGAATCCACTTTGGAGGTTATTTAATCTGCCAGTAATATCCCTCACACAGACAGGAACAAATTTACCTTGATGTGTCTGTCTGTCATTCAAGTAACCTGTGATCCATTGAATATGTCTCTTTCTGAAACGCTCATTTTACTGCAATTCTGTCTGACTCAATATTCTTCTTACCTGACAGGTAGGAGATCAAATAATTGAAATCAATGGAGAAAGCACAAGGGACATGACACATGCCAGAGCAATAGAGCTAATCAAGTCTGGTGGCAGGAGAGTGCGACTGTTGTTGAAACGTGGAACAGGCCAGGTCCCAGAATATGGTGGGTTTTCATCTTTACATTTTTTTATGTGCATGAACCTATATAAATTAATTATATTGCTTTTGAGTTAAGTACCAATTGCAGATATTTATATATTGTAATGTCCTGGGGCATATTAAGTATGGGCTTAAGTGCTTACCTGAGTACAGGTGGACTTATCATATGTTTAAGTGCTTCCTTGGCTCAAGACCATATATGTGTGTCTGTTTTGCTGCCCTCCCGACACAGGCAATGGCTTATAATCTGTGCATTGAAGGAAGCACTTTGAACTCTTTAGGGGACATCTCTGAGCGTGCTGGGAGTTGCTGATTTGCCCATAAACTGTCCTTTTCTTCCTCTATTGGTACTTCTCTGCACATTTTGAATCACAGCAGATGATCTTGTTGTCATGCAATTCAGTCATTTGGGTTTAAACTCAAAGCATTAAGAAGAATGTACTTCTTTCTTTGACAACCCCACCCATTATATTATCTCTGACACTATACATGGATGATCAAGGAGAAGCCAACTCTGAATAAAAAAGGAGACTTTGCTCACTGTGGTGAGAAAGCAGGATCCATCCTTCTCATGTTTTGTTTCAGGGGGACTTCTGGGACTTTTTTGAGTATTTCAAAAAGTGTGAGTAATTTAGACAATATAGAAACCTTGTTTCATTACTGAAATGACAAGAAGTAAAAATAAATTATCCGAAGGTAATTCAAAGACACAAAAGCTCTTTTTTTAAATTGAAGTCAGGGCTTACTCTAAAGAACGTTGTGACAATGTCATATATTTACATAAGTTCTATGATGTGCACAGCTGGTCCTGAAATCTTACGGGAAAAGGGTTTTTTTAATGAAAATTCCTGGACTTCCTTATACTGGGAGGTCCAAAATTCTATTAAACTTTTCTAATGTTACTTTTGAAGTGCCACTGTCATTTCCCATTAGAATCAGAAATTGCAGTTAGCATATGAAAATTCAAAGTAATACTTAGGCTTAAGTGTAGTGTCAGGTCAGTCTTTGTTACCAACATAAATTCATTACCTCTGCTAGAGACATTAAAGTAAGCTCCACTGAAAGTCAGCGCTTTGCTGGCTGTCAGTATACATGGTAATGGCACCATTTTCTTCTCTAAACTAGAGCCAACTCTGTGGCTGAGGCAATACTCGGGATAGTGTTTGTTGTATTTTTTCCAGCTTTCAAGAGCTTCTGAATAAGGACAGCAAGGATGGGCCGCAGCCCACTCATCTGGTGATAAAGTTAGTGAGTTATACTCTTGGTGAGTAGGAACGAAGCTACAATGGCTTTCAGGGATTATGATAAATTGGTACTAAGACATTTAATATCAATTTTAACCAGTGTATAATCCTTTCAGGGAGACCTCCAACAGAGATTCAGATCATGTCCAAAACTTCTGTAGGGAGAGGTGCATCAATTTTAATGAAAGAACAAACAAACATCCAGGACTGATATAGCAGTAGTAATCCTTCTCAAATAGCAGAACCATATAGCAGCACTTCTCTGGTTCCTCAGAAAACAATTTAATCTAAGGAAGGTCACAGGGGGCTGCTATGAGCAAAGAATCAATTACAGTTCAGACCCATTCCAAATCTGACTTTCTTAAGATCCCAATTCCGGATGGCCCTTAAACCTAGGCTTACAGAAGATCCAAAATAAATTTCTATATTTATATAATCTTATAAATCTGTACCTTATTCCAGAATCGTAAGAAAATGTAAATAGATGTAAAAAAAGTTCAGTGTAAACAGCATTGTTTTGGGAAAACAAATCCCCTGAAATGTGTAAATGTGCACAAGCCTTCCCTTCCCCAGAAGAAATGAGTAGGAAATACAGATAAACCACTACAAATCCAGGCATGGTTTATAGTGCTAACAGAAAGAAACAAGACGACTTCACAGGATTGTTTAAAGCCATGCTCACCATTCAGAAAGGCATTTGGAATGCTTAGCATTAGTTGTGCAAAAATGCAGCTTGCTATGTTATAAAAGTTGCTATAAAGAAGTGCTGTTTAATCAGATCATTTTCCTAGCTGCATCCCCAGCTTACAGCTCCATACAGGAGGAGGACTAAGTAGCTGTGCTTGAAAGCCGTGTTGTCCTACTGCACTGAAAAAGCAGTAAAAGTGTTCAGGAATTACTTCATAATGTACACACAACCTACAGAAAGCATGACAGCAAAGGATAACATCTGCATGTCTGCAGTTCTTAGTATGTGTATTACGCAGGCAGAGAAATGTTAGTCCTGTATCCAGTCTGCAGGCAGAATGGAAGCCACAGAAGAAGATGCCTGTTGAAATTAACTGAGATATTAAAATCCTCCCTAGGTCATTTCCCAAAGCAATGAGAAATACTCTAAGAACAAACAGAAGATGCACATAAAAATCAACAGCAGCCTGCTTAGGAAGTTAAAAACAGAACTTAACAAACATAAATTATTAAAACCGGAGGGCATGTCTCGATAAGGCCAGAATTCAAGGGTAAGTCATTGTGCTGCAAAGAATGTCTGTCGGAGTATTAATGACAGAGACCCCCAGAGAAGACTGTCCTTTCCAAGTGATGGAAAACTGAATGCAGAGAAGATTGTGACAGTTAAGCTTGAGGACAAAGTGGTCCTGAGGACAGTAGACAAACTAGTCAATATTTAGTATTTCCCTCTTCTTCCCACCAGAATTGCATGGCTGGGATGTAACAAGACCAACTGGAGTTTCTTTTACTGAAATAATCAGCTTTTTTTTTTTTCAGTAAGTACATGTCAGAAATACTTCTTATTCTCATCAGGGTCTGGCTCTGGAGACTGTCAGTGGGAAATAAGACTTAGCTGAATATAAAAATGCAAGGCTGGAGGGCTGAGCTGGTATGTGGGTTGCAACAGTGGTGTGCAGCAGAAGCCTAGGGAGAAATAAAATCAGAGCAAGTGTACCAAGGTCCTTTCCTGGATATTCTCTCTCAGTCTCTGGCAAGCGAAATGGTCAGGGACTTCCCAAGTCAGTTGTAGTACTGCTGTGTTTAAAGACCTTTCCAACAGCAGTGGCATTCAGACTCACAGTATTAAAAAGAAGGAAGCTTACCTAGAACAAGCTAAACCAACCAGCCAAAAACCATCACATTATTGTCTCTCAGTCTTCAACATTTTGATTTTCCTTATGCAATATAATCAATGCTTTTTAAATTCCAGAGCCATGTTTCTGTTAGTACAAAATACAGCGGTATATATTTAAGTGCAAGAAATATCAGTGTTTGAATGATGATGTGATTTACATCAGTTAAAAGCAGTTTTAAGGAAAAATCATCAATGGTAAGAAAATGATCTGTGAAAGAAAAGAATATGCATTGAAAGAAGAAAGCAGGCAGTGAAGAAACAAAGAACAAGCTCCTGGGAGGATGTAAATCTCCTGAATGAGTTGTGTCAGTTTATTCTGCCTGAAAATCTGTCCCTACAAGTACATCTCAGAAAATTCTAGCTGAGCTGAAGCACTATTCAAACCTAGGGGAAGAAATAAAGTGTGTTGCAAATGCATCATTTACCTCAATGCCAGCTGCTGATTTTGCTTGAAAACAAATGCCAGAGGTCCCAGAGCACTTCAGAGGGAGAAATCCCCTTGTAGCGTGCACGGTAGCATCAGAATATATGGGAAGGAGCACAGATATGATTAATGCTTAAAAACAATAGCTGATTTCACAGCAGGGTGCAACAAAAGAAGCTTAGAAAACAGATGTTTTATCATCCAGCATCTCAGAACATGTTTGCTGAGGATAAGGATAGCCAGAGGAACTGTGCTTCCACTGAAGGTGAATTATCATTGCTCATCCAAACCCGAAGAACATCAACATCATGTTTCATAGGAAATAGTCTGCCAGCCATGTTCTCCAAAGAACCAAGTCATAGTAAGAAATCATATTACTGTGCAAGAAAGACTAGAAGTACTGCTGGGAATCCTGATCCCTAAGTGTACTTAATGCCCGGGGAGTCCAGCTGCAGGGAGTGCGAGGTTTAATACATGCCACAGGACATAAAACTCACAGTCATCACTGTAGCACTGAGCACTTCTCAGACCGACATTAAATACAATTTGAATAAAATGACAGACCAAGAGTTTTCTTGCAATGGCTGCCTAATTCTCTGTGTATGCATCTACCTAAGAGGTTATTGACTTCAGCAGGAGCTACTGGGTACACAGCACTTCTAAAAATCTGTTTGCTCACAATATGTGAGCCTAATTACAGATGCTCGTATTTTTCAGGCCGTAGCCATAGCTGTATAAACACCATCAGAAGGACAACTACATTGAGCAGCCAAGCATTGGGATGAAGAAGCATCCCTAAAGGCAAAATGTGGGAAAACTATTCACAAAATCCCAAAATAGTAACATTAAAGATTAAGTAAATCTAACAAATCACAGCCTTTCCATCCAGCAATGAGCTCTGCAAGAGGCAAATTCTAATGACGGATCAGCCCCAGGAAGCTACGGTTTTCTCTGAGTACAACCACTGTTTTCTCTAAATATCTATGGAAGAAGGTCCCTAGGAAAGGCTGGGATGTTTCATTCTCAGTCCCAGCAGTCCTGGCAGCTTGCTTCTTCTGGCTTACTTCTCCTAGCATTTCCCAACTGGAGCTTTCATTACTCAAAGATACATTAAAATATAAGTTCCTAGAAGTATCTGAAAGCAGTGACTCTTATAACCAAATTGCAAACAGGGCATAAAGGTGGAGGAGGCTGAGGCACAATTAACACTTGTAGGTGGACTCCATCCCTCCGGCAAGGCACAACCTCCTTCCCCAGATGCATTCTGTCTGACACTGCAGAGGGAGCAGAAACACTGAATTTCACCCACGAGGAACATCTAGAAGAAAGCTAATTCATTTCCCTTCCTGCTTTCACAGCAGGACTTCAAAATCATACTTGCTATCAAGCTTGGTAGTTTTTCACTTAGTTTTAAGTTGCTTAAGAGGTCCTGCAGAAAGTTGTAAGTTTTGGAGACTCCAGCCCATTCACACTGA